AGAGAGAGAGAGAGAGAGAGAGAGAGAGAGAGAAAGAGGGAAGCAGACAGACAGACTGGAAGGCAGATAGACGGACAGAAGAGGAGATTATTCATTCCAGATTGTTAGAGAGGAGGTTCAAGAGGTCTGTGCTGAAAAAACGTTACAGGGACACATTCTCCGATCATTCGCATGGTGCCATGACCGTCGTGATCGTCAGTCAGCTCAACATTGAGCTTTTATTTCACTTTTATTTTATTTTTTCAATCTGACCAACGGGCCCGTCTGGAAGAAGAAAAGCCGTTAAGCTGTGTCGACTTTAAATTCAAACGTACCTTATATTTAGTGATCAGATCATTTAATATATTATGAAGAACAGACAAATTAGGACGTCTTCGAGTATAAAGTTATTTTTAACGCCTTGGAGTCGTTTTGTACCCCGCGGGTTGTATTCTTCACAAGTTAGAATACTTCTAATGCGAAAATCTCTTTGAAACTTTCAGTAGTTCTGTATAAAATCATTTTGACAGACTGCTGTGCAAAGCGTACGGATCGGATTAAAGAATAAATTTCCAGTTTGGAAAGTGATGGCACAGAGTTCCCCATGTTGTATGACACGATAGTAAAACAGGACGAACGGACAGGGTTAAAATGAGTAGTTTCATTACATCATTTTCCCCCTCAGGAACAAACATCAAGCAATGGTTCTAAATGGACTGCTGTGCACTGAGATATCTTTACATTTCAAATTCACTTTATCCCCTTTTATCTTCAAACCCTCATTATATGTAAGATACCCTAAGAACAATACTTTGGACTGTCAGGCCTGGGCTCTTTTTAAAGTCATACGTAATTCATCTGGATACGCTTTATGGACATCGCTAAAACAATGCAGGTACCTTTGTTAGTAAAGATTTCATAATTTTCCCATTGTTTCCAGTGTTAAACTTTTTCCTTCACTCCCTTACTCGATACCCAGCAAGTATGCTATTAGAAAAGATATAGTATCCCCCCCCACCCCATCTGCTACCATTCTTTTTGTACCCTGCCCTCAGGTACTCTCATCCCATAAAATGAAAGGAAAAGGTAATGTAGTTTTGTATACCCACATGAAAAATCAAAAAAAGTCCGATAGTCGATTTCTGGAAAAATTCCAGGTCCTCATATTTTTCCCGAATTCCATGTTATTCCTGATGTTCCTTTGTTGGTATATCGCAATGCACTCCGAATAAGTTTAGATAAATAACATTCCCAACTGCCTAAGTGATTGGTTTTTCACGCCATGTATCTATAGGGCGAGCAACTCAAGTTTTACAAAGTTTTGGTCTTTTTTTTTCTTTCTTTTCTTTTTGTTTGTTTTTTTGTTTTGTTCTTTGACTATTTTTATTAAGGGGTTCGGTTCTGGGGCAGTCATTTGGTTGCACAATAAGAACACGTAAAGGGAAAATAAATGTGGAAGCGTTATCTCCCCGTTCTGTTTTCGGGTTCTCCGATATGTCATCTTAATTCGATGTTTAACAAGATGGCTGAAGAACAGCTCTCTTAAAAAAAAATGCTGTCTATGTCTTATATTTTTTGTGGTCTTATAATATGAAGCTTTCATAACATAATGAAAACGATGCCCTGGTTTAATCTTCCCGGGATGATTTTTTGAAGACATGTTTTTTTTAAATCGACCTAATTGGATTCATGTGTTCAACTGTAACATAAAAATATCACCGGTTTTCAATTGTAGAGAAACTTTTCTGTTGTTGACATTTTGTACAAAACAGAATCGTTTTACCCTGTAATGTTTTTCTGAATCGTCAGACGTTTAAGCAAATGGAAAATATTAACAGAGCCATAAAGCTGTTTCCTCTTACAATGACAACGTCTGTAAAAAGTCACTGTTGTATACATTCTTTTAAAAATTGGTAATGACGAATTTCTAGAACAGACAAATGGAGAACTTTTTAAATTGAATGTTCAAAAACCATGAATGAAACAAACGTCAAGTCCAGTATATACAAT